GTTGGTCCTCAGATTCGTGAACTTCTTCGAGATGATGCATTTGACCATACACTGTGTGGCAAGGAAAAGACGGCATGGAAAGCCTTCCAGTTAGTGGCAATAAATTTTCTCGGAAACAGCAAGGCAGACAACTACAGGTTGTTGGTGGAAAACCTCCTCAAGGCATACAAAAGCCTTGGTTGCAACATGTCACTAAAGATACATTTTTTGCACTCTCATCTAGATTTTTTTCCACCGAACTGCGGAGCAGTGAGCGACGAGCACGGCGAGCGATTTCACCAGGACATTGCAACAATGGAGAAACGCTATCAGGGCAAATGGAGCCCATCAGTGCTTGCAGACTATTGCTGGACAGTGACAAGAGATGCTCCATTTCATGAATACAAGAGACAAGCCAAGAAGCGCCGAGTAGACACTGAATAGGACTAAACTATGTACATAATAGTTTTTTGCCTTTTGTTTCATAATAAATTTTATTTATATAACCCTTTGGCTGATTTTTAAAGTGTTACATAAACAGGACAGGTGAAATATTATCATGTAAAGCAACCATAAACACATGAAAAGACCTAGGTTTACAATTTATGATTAAAACTCTACTATCTACACAATATACATAGACATAAAATGTAAAAACTTAAATATCTTAGAAACAGTAGCCAATCAGTTGTTTTAATTGTCATATTTGAATTCAGCACATCAAAATACATAATAAATAGCACATTTTATCTCTGAAGCAGACGACTTCTCAAAAATTGTAGACCAGTGTTATTTTTTCTGAACAAATATTTCTTGTGGACAGTTCAGGGAATCCTCTCTTCACAACTACTTGCTCTATTCCCAATTAGTGGATTTGAAAAACACGTACATGTTTAGGATAACAAAACAAAACATGCATTTTGCTTTGGAAAAAATGTATTCCAGGGCAACAATTTATCATTATACTCCTTTATTTCTTACTTCATGAAAAGATGCTTAAGACAAAAGCATCAAAAAGCTAATGCTTCCATTTCAAGTAATTAGCAATGTTATCAAAACGTGGAAATTTGGAATTTTTAAAATATATGCCAGTAAAATACAGGTTTTGGCACAATGTTTCTGAGGGAAATTATGCATTTCAGTCAGAATTCATGCCGGTTGAATACTGCAAAAAAATAGCATCTATGAACTTTTGCATGAATTCAGAATGGTTTGACAGTTTGTACCTCTCTCCTATTTGCTATTTTGAATATCCACTCAGAGCTTTTTGTTCTTGCGATTGTTTGACAATTGGTGTTTAGACCTGTTCAGAGGGCTAGCTAGTGGCCTATACCCCCTTTAGTTTGGGATCTTAAGTGAGACTGACGTGATGCGTAGACCTTACCCTGGCCCTCTCTGCACAGGGGTGAATTCTCCCCCACTCCCCTGCAAATTAGCTCTGTTGCATGTGTACAAGACATTGTGTGAACAATTCATTATTCATTATTGACTGTTCTTCCCCTTCAGAGTTGACTCGGCCCTTTCTTTACTCTCCAATATAGATACACTGGGTTCCATGCAGTTTATTGTGTCGGCTTTTTCAGAGGGACCTGAAAAAACAAAGTTCTTCTTTGTGTGGATGTTAATAATTCCACAGACCCTTTTGTAAGATCAGAAGTTTTCCTGGTGTCCTTGGCCCCTTCTCCATTGTGCAAGTTGCTGTACACTGATTGATTGCTATCTTGGCGCTGCCCCAGACGTTCAGTTCATTGAAAGAGTTTATTTTTTTTAGGTGAAAGGTTTTATATTATTATCTCATATTTCATTATTATATTATTTACTTAAGGCCCCAATCCTGCAGTTGGATCTAGAGCACTCTTGGCTTACGTTGGGCTCCATGTGGATGCAGAGGTCCACTCTAATAGAGCTGATTGCAGGATTGGGTCCAAAAGTTATAGACTGATGGAAAATGCAGGGCATCAGTATGGTCATTATTATTCTTAATTATTTGTATCATTGCAGCAGTTAGGAGTCCCATTCAGGGACCAGGACCCCATTATGCTAGGTGCTGTGCAAGCACAGAAAAAAAAGGGTCCATGTATCTCATGTGGACCAGATTCTTTTGAAATGAGCAGAAACCTGATTTCTTTTAATGTTGGGGACTGTCCGTTGAAGTTTACCTGGAGAGGATTCCCTTCTTATATTACTTACTCACCTTGCAAAATTCTGCAAAAGGTGACTGGCACACAGTCATGACCACAACCCTGATCCTGAAAACTGATCCTAAGGGTGTCTGTGAAGAACCCCTACTTTGGGGCTGCATGCAGGTGCAAGGGTCTACCTGCATTAATCAATTTGCAGGATTAGGACCTAAGTTACTTATACAATTAAGAAAAAATTCAAGTCCAGTTACTAGTGTTACCAATGAAGGTAAGGTCTGAGGACTTCAGAAGGACTTAGATCAAGCCTTAACTGTATATTCCATGAAATAATGTGGAACAGTTTTACATTAACTATGTAATTAACCTTTATTACCAATGTAATGTTTTCTGATCAGCAAAGGCTTGGGGCAGAGATGATACAGAAACATTTACTTGCAGTGACAAAGACAGTGACTGTCTGGGCAGAGTTCTTGCTTATTTGCTGTATAGGAAAACTTTCATTGGAGCTATGTGAATATGCAGGGTAAATTGTATATAAACAAATTTTAAAATTCAGATCTTATTGGTGTAGTTTCTTATCTTCAGAATAACAAATGTTCACCAGTTAGATAAAAAAGACATGTTTTCTAATTAGATAATCTCCAAACTACAATTCAGTCTCCTTTTTATGCTGTTACAATATAAGTATCGTAAAATAACAGCATCACATTTGAGGTGCCTTATGTAGCACATTTAAAAAAATATTAATGTAGACCAAAATAAAACACAATTCCACTCTCCAGTGTTTCAGAGTAGCAGCCGTGTTAGTCTGTATCTGCAAAAAGAACAGGAGTACTTGTGGCACCTTAGAGACTAACAAATTTATTAAAGCATAAGCTTTCGTGGGCCACAGCCCTCTTCTTTGGATGCATATATCAGTGTGTGACTCCAATATTTACAAGACCTTCTAATTGATTGTTTACTCCATTTACTGGTTTCTTTTGGTGGAGGAAGGAAGCATTATGTTGGGCTACTAATTTACTTTATTGTTTCAGGCTTATGCAAGGAAAACGAATAAGGGATCACATTTAAGCTGATCCCTCAAACTTCTCTCCCAAAAAAGTCACATCTATAGAGTTTAACTGTTATGTGCCTGCCAATAAATATTTAAGAGGTTCCATTTTATTTTTTTAATTTATTATTTGTTTGCAAAAAATGACCTCAATGTTGAAAGAACTGTAACAAGGAAGAAAAGTGTTTTATTTATTAATATATTACAAGTTTCTATCCTATTTTTCCTTCTTTATAGCTGCAGTCAGTGTGGGCAAGCATGACAGCTGCTCAAACTCGGCAAACTTCCAAGGAGTTGAGTGTATGCCTGACCGATGTGTCATGGAAGAGTCTGAGAGTCCAGGTGAGAGCCCTTTAAAGATAGTCCCCGAGTATCAAATGATAAATATGACACAGCTTTTGAGCCAATCAAATAAAGCACATTGTAATGCTGCTTCCTTTTTAGCAGCTGCAATGTCAAATTAATGGTCACCTCCTGGGGTCATAGTGTGGAGCTGTTATCCTTTCCTCTTTCATCAAGCATTCAAGTCCTAGAAAGGATAAAGGCTTTATGACCAAAAAGAAAACTGACACTACTAGTTCATTATAATTAGTTTTGGACTAAACTGCTTAGTTAATATATGTACAGTGTCTGACCCTTTGAAGGTAGAGTAAGATTATGAAAAATTAGAAGGATTGTCCCTACTATAGCTGAATATAAAGCAGCCGTTCGGATGCTATAGGTCTGGAGAAAAGCAAATTGACAGTGTTATAACCTGATTCCTTTTTCAAATCAACTCACAGTAGTTATTTCAATTAATGATTTTTAACATTGAAATTATTAATTGCAGTGATGTACATAAGCTGTATCCCCTTCTCGTGGCTATGGGATTTGTCTTAATGTTGCTTATTTCTCTATCTATGTATGGTATATGTAATAATCTTATTAATTGAATCTGAAGGGAGAGCAATTAAATGTAAAGTGCATCTAATTGTGGCTGATTAAAAACATAGTGTGTGATTACATTTTAAAAAAGGTAAGCAAGGTGGGTCTGGCCCACATACCAATGTGTACATGTACACAGTATCCCTTAGTGAAAGAGTTAAACATCTTTTTTTCACTTGATATTTTCCTTTCCTGCTTTATCTGGTTTCTGTGTACCCTCTTGCATCTTTGTGTGCTGATCCGTGTATCATATTTTTGATTCATCCTCTCTGCAGCCTGTCAGCTTAGTTAAGAGATTTCCAAATCTTGCATCCTGCACTGACAGGGGGCAGCTGCCAACAGTCCCCTGATCCTTCCCCAAGGAGCGCTGCTGAGATTTAATTTTCAGTGAAAGGGTGCAGTCTGAAATCCATGTCAGGTCCCCTAAGTCATCTCAGAACCCAGATAGGACCCATGGCTATGGGATTATATTTCAGTGCACTCCACTCCTTCAAGATTCCTTGGGAGTTGAACTCCTGTCATGTACCTGATTTGAACTACATTTCCTTTTCGTCTTTTCCACAGAAATGAGCAATGGTTATATTAGAATATTAGAATAAGTGAAATCAGTGAATTGTAAATCTGCACCTATTTTCAAACCATTTTGGCTTGGTCTCACTACTTCGCAGCAAAATGCAGCATTGGATTTAAAAATAATAGGTACCAGGGTTAGGAAACACATTTAATTCCATACTTCAGTTATACCAAACCACTGATGGTACCATACTTTAAGGCTTATGCCCTTCAGGAACTGTCCATAAACCTTTCTAGAACTGTTACAGATAACAAATGTACAGCTTTATTTTTTATCTGTTTTGGACAGAAGTTAGAAAGAATTAATTAAAGGTTAATAGTCATAACTGGTTCAGGTGAGAATTAATTTAGGACTCCCTCTGCCTAAAGATGATATGTATTAATTTTAACCTTCCTTTAAGTTGTTTTGGGTGACTGAATGCGCCTGGCACTGGATGGGAGTGTAGAATATATAGTTCTGCATACCATATGTGTGTGTGAAATAAAGAAAAGGATGTAAAACTGTCCAGCGGTGAATATTGATGGGGAAAAATGTGTGTTGAGAAAGAATCTAAACTTAAAAACTGAGTTTCATTCTGTCCATCTGACATCATTAAACTGCTAATAAACAATGAATTACTCTGGCTTTTCTCTCTGCCCATTCCTGCATTTTAAGACATCTTGCCTTGTAGGTCTGAAAATCTCTGGAGATTTCACTACTGGTCTCACTGCTTTCCACTGAGAATTTGTGGCTTGGTTGTCATGGAGACATCGTATTTCTCCAAGAATTGCTCATATTGATCCGTGGACAGGCGTAAATGGCCAGGCGACTGTGAGGAGTAAAGGGGGCTGGGCAGTACTATAAAATGACCAGAGGTTATGGGTCGGAAATAAGCTCATAGCAAACACTTAGGTAAAGAGAAAGAAACAGTTTCATTTTGTTTCAGGATTTCGTTTTTGCACTTTGTGCCATTGTCTTCTTTCACTATAGACTGAAAGAAACTTGTTAGTCACTTGTCATGTCAGATCTTTGGTGCTTGTCCTGACACAGCTGTCAGCCTTCCAGCTCTGTGCAGTTCAGGGACACACAACAAAGAGCCAGCAACATGAATTATTTATTGCTCCTTGTGTGGATGAAATTCTGTGATAAGAAATTAAGACACTTCTGACAGAAGCGTTTGTTTGAAAAGAAAGATTTTGGTGATAGAATGCTTGAAGCTTACCACTTACTTTTTTGTAGGCAAACATTAAAACAGTAACATAACATTTAGTTGGGTACTATTTTCTTTAGTCTTTGTCACGTTTTTACTTTGTAGCATATTTTACTATTTGAGAGCATGAAGGATGTCAGCATTTGACTTGATGAAACCTACAACTTCAGAATCTGTGTCCCATGAATTCAAAGCCTGGGAAAACTTAGAAGCTCCACCTAAGCTGTTATTAAAAAGTGACCTATATAGGTTTGCAGAGTAGTTTGCATTTTGCTTACAGTACTTTGTCATATGCTGCATTTCGTACAGAAACACCAGTAAGGAGTATATTGACTTTACCGTCTCTTTTGATGAAGTTAGGATGAAAGTACTACAGTGCATCTTCAAAGAGCTCTATAAGTATTCTTAGAAAGGTACTTTACTATATTTTATTGGAACCAGTATGGGTTAATACACTCCCTCCCACTGCTGCAAATTTGGCCTCAAGCAATCACAGAAAAGGGCATATACCCAGGTGAATAGCAGGAATCCATTAGACAAGCCAAGAAAATAATCTGGGATTTACCTGTAATTTTCAGTGTTCATAATATGGTATGACTAGTCTCCGACAGGTAATAGAACCCCTCAGCCTGCACTTTCCTCTTGGATAATTCATTAGTAAACATTTTTCACCTGCACCAGACACAGGTAAATATCAGACTAGGGTTTCTTGCCTGGGCAAACTAGATTTTAGTTGCTCTCTTGCATGTACCTACAAGATGCCATTACCTGAGATAGTGGCTCATGTTTGTATCAGCCCTCACACAGAGGAAATGCTGCTTCTATCCCAGATGTCTAATACTAGGTTTGTGTCTGCCAGTTCCCTACATGCTGAGGACTACTTCTCTCTAACATGCAAAGCCATGGCTCTTTAAACTTGTCCCTGCTTTGGCCTGTAACACAATAATCAAATAATGTCAACACTGTGTTTATAGAACTGGTTATCTAGGCATATCAAAACACTTTACAAATATTAACTGACCCTCGCAATGCTCCGGTGAGGTAGGGGTTACCACCACATCTTCCAGGTTGGGAAACTGCAACACAGTGGTGTTAAGTGACTTGCCCAAGCTAATGCACCAAGTCTGTGGCAGAGCTGGGAATAGAACCCAGATGTCCTGACTCCTACTCCTGAGCACTAGACCATGCTTCCTCTCATAGGGAGCTTAGGTACCTTTCCTGTCCAGGGAGGAGTATCGTTGCAGGCATACTTCCCCCACCACCCATGCAGAAGTCTCTTGGGAGCACTATGGGGATCTAGCTCCATGGAATTGGAGGGGACCAGACAAAGATTCTTTGAATTTTACCCGCTGAAACATGGAGAGAAAGCAGCACAAGTTAATGCAGCCTGAGATTTCTTTGCCTTCTGTGCTGTCCTTTAGCACAGACCCAGTAATGGGAGCCCCTGAAAGCCTGGCTCATGCAGGACCAGTGTTGTCTAGGGATAGATGAGAGCAAGTGGGGCCAGGTGGAAGAACATAGTCAGTGCACATTGGCATAAATGTCCCTTGCCTACTTTGGACCTCCCAGCACAAATCTTGCCATATTCATCAGGTAAGCAGGTAGAAACCCAGATATTTCCAGTGGTAGTGAGGACACATCACGCTCCGCCAATGGAAGAGTGAGTAAGAAGCTGGAGGTTGAAACTAGCAGAGCATTTTCTCCCCTGTGTGAGTGTAATGGAGTATACAAACACCATGCAGGAGACAAAGGGATTAAGGAGGCCCTCTGGGCCCAGGCAGCCCTGCCCCACCACACCCTCAAAGCCTGCACAAGCTGGAGGAAGAGCTTAACAAGGGAAGCAGAGTAGCTCAGTTGCAGGCAGTGATGTGCACTCTGAATTCCTGGGAAGGAAGTCCCACAGGGCTCCTGAGGCCTGGTGATACTGACTTGGCCAAGCGTGCAAAAGAGGGACTGGTGACTTCTGAAGGTTAGAAACTTAGTTTGTATATTCAGTTATTTACTTTATCCTGTGGGAAGAGGAGGTACTGGTAGGAAGCGATCCAGAGAGGCAGCTGCATAGCACCTCCAAGCACAGGGCTTAGCTGCCTACCACTGGGCCCTGGATTGGAGTGTGGTAGAGGGTGGGATCAGGCTCCCCTACCAGCACCTAAAGAGGTGACAGTGATAGATGTCTGTCCCTCAGCAGGGAATGTAGTTGGGGAAGGCCCCAAAGGTCCCTGGGTCCAGCCCCCAAGACCCTGTCTCAAGGGAGAAACCCTTGCTAATTTCTGAAGACTTCCACATTATTGGAGTCTTTATATGTGTCCTGAAGGGGGTGGACTTGAATGTGTGTCCTGGCCAGAGGGCTGAGTTGCTGAAAGGACAGACCACCTTAGGGAAGAGGTGTAGTGAGAAAGCGGAGAGCCCAGGAGGAAGACAACCTGCCATACTCCTGCCTGACCACTAGGCAGCACTGGCAGTGAGTTTTCCCCTTCACAGTGGGTTATTGCTGTTTAAAGGAGAGTGGGACCCTATGTGATGGCCTTCAAAAGTCTGTCAGTACCTCTTTGGTTAAGCCAAGAACATTCATTTGTGCATCTTAAATCCCTCCTGTCACTTCACACTGAAAACATTGCTTCTAAATATTTTGCCCCTCATTCTCTAACCAGCCTGACCAGAGTAAAATTCTGCTTGTATTTCAGACACTAGTGAAAAATCCTATAGTTTCACACCTTGCTTAGTTTCATGTACCAGAAAACCCTGAGCACAAATGTGGGGGAGAACAATCTGTGGCCCTCCCTGAGATTTCATCTGTGAGATATAGCACTATACTAAGTGGGAAAATAAATCAAAAAGGAAAGATTCAATTGGCCGAGTGCACCTGAGAGCCATGAATATGCAGCACTGAGAGTGACTGTGTTGTTAAGAGACAGGTTATAATCACCCTTTAGAATACCTGATTAACACTCCAGTGAATGCAACTCTAAGGTATGTTATGTAGATCAATGCAGTACCACTTATAGCTGTAGATCAATATCCCGTTTGTTGGAACTTGATACTCAGATCGAGGTTTTTCCATTAAATTTCACAACTGTGGAGCACCTTATGTAAAATCAAGGCTATTTTTTCCTTTTTCTGGCTCAGGTACCAATATCACAGCAAAAAATAGGTAACAGTAAACAAGGATGGATTCAGGAATGGAATGTTAGCAATTGCTGATGATGCATGAAGCAGAAAGAATGTGGAATGTGTGGACAACCCATTAATCATAACCACAGATAACACATACTGGTCATGGTCTGTGTTAAATAAAACTTTATAAACATTTTATCATAGTAACTGTACGATAGTATTAAAATATACCATGTGCCATTTAGAATTCAGTTTCAAAGTATCAAATTCTATTTTTTTTCCACATGAAATTAGGGAGTAAATCAAGAAGACTGCATAGTGTGGTATGAAAAAATGTTTTATATCTATACAAATATAAATTGATATCTACTTTTAAAGAATCTAATCTCCTGGATTTTTGGCTGTAATTATTAGGGCTGCAAAAGAATTGACTGCTTTTATCTCTCCCTCTCTATTCTTACCTTATCTCTTCATTGCATCCACTTGAACAGTGGCTTATAAAATACCTAGTACAAGTAATATTTTAAATTTAGGCTATAAGTATTATTATACATCAGGTAGGAAAATTCATGCGACTAAAAATTGGATTGATTGACTAATTCCCATTTCTGGTAGACTCTTGATAAATTGTGACAGGACTAAGATGTCATACCTGAATAGTATAAATCACTATTACTCTTATTTCCACTTATTCTATGAGTCCAGTTGAGAGAATGCATGCAAGTGAAGTGAAAATGCAATCATCTGTTAGCATTTAACAAAAATTAGCTGTCTCCTTCCAAAATTGGGAAGTTTTGCACATCTAAAGAAAATTTGTGTTGAATTGCTCTGAGAAGATACATATGCGCTCTCAAGCCAATTTGACTTCTATGTTGCTTTCTGTGATGTCTGCTCTTTGAGGGGGTAAAATATTTTGTGGTTGTAGATTGCGGTATACTTGAATACTAGCATAATGTTGATGCATAGCTTAATTTCACTACAAAGAGTGTTGAGGGTTTTTATCATTTTATAAAGTGATTTATCACAAACTCTTTTAAACAAGTGAAACCGTGCCTATTGATCACACCACAGAATGTTCCAAAGTCAAATGAATACATTTGTTTTCCAGATGAGATGAAACAGCATCCTTGGATGTCCAAGGTGTGTTCCTGCAAGGTGTGTTAGATAAGCCTGCTCATTCAATGGAACTAGAAGGTGGTCAAGTACAGCAGAGGAACTGAAAATACAGGACTCTTTCATAGGACAACAGATTTTCTTTACTGTGTTTTGATACAAGAAATATTCAATGTATATTATTTATCACTATACCTTTCAGAATTAATTTTCAAAAATGTCTTTCATATCTGCTTTTCTCTTCTCAGTTATTGGTTCCATGTACAATGACAGCCCTTCAGTAGAGTCACATTGATTGAATATAATCTAGATTTTTGTTAACATATGCAACATTACATGATTCCTTGTTCTTGAGATGTTTTTCCACTAACAGAAGGAATGACTCCCAATCTCAAGACAGAGACATTTTGTCATTATTAGTAAAATTCACTTTAGAAGTATTATGGTAAATCTATCTGGTAAATATTACACTTGACATAAATTTGAAGATTTAAATTAGTTAAATGTTCTCTGTCTTGTTACTATACTACGTTTATTACTGATAACATTTCAATGTGGGGAAGACCAAATATATTTAAAACAACTTGTGCATCAATGTTTGCCTGAATTTAAAGAAAAAAATGTAAGCATTTAATTAAACTGAAAATTAAAAATTAATGTGTGTGATTGCATTGTAGGTAAGTGATTCTGCAGATATCAATATTAGGGGAAAAAATTGTGTGTACATGTCAATGTCAATATGACATTTGGAGAAAGCTGCCCATAGCATCCCCTGCTGAAATGGTGCAGTGTGTAGAGGTGCTGTTCACATTCCTCAGAATGAGGAATTTCAATAAGTATTTGCAGTGCAGATATAGATAAAACACAGACTTCACATGCCTACATGCTTGAGTCTTGTCTAGATCTTGTGCAATGTGGGCCACATTCTGCTCACTTATTCTGGAGTAACTTCACTGACCTCACAAGACTTTATTCCAAATTTACACAGGTGTAATTGAAAGCAGGATATGACCCATATTGTCACCTGAGATAAATCCAGGGTTAATCTACCTCTCAGTGTTTATGATAAAAGCAGAAATACAAACGAGAATGTAAAACATCATTAATTTATAACTACACCTAGCAAAATACGTAATATGCAATTTCACAGATGGCAGACAGTAATCCAAATGTGAGTGAGAGTATGTGAGTGAGGCCTCATTCTTGCCTTCACCACCTTCTAGTCTTAATGGCAGTCTCTTATTTCTATAAGCAGAAGCCCAAGTCTTGATATTTTGCTTCTGTGGGTAGTGATGCTTTCAGAGGCATTGCTTGAGCCATGATCCTTCTAACAACTTTTCCATTTCTTATGTAAAATGCATCATCTTGGCAGCTTATGAGTATTGCAGCCATGTTCATGTGTTGTATTGGTGCACCTTTTATCATTGGATCATCCTATTCTTTTTTGTGCTGCATAATCACATCCCTATCTAAGGATCCAGTTCTGAATTCTGTAACTATTACTGTTCTTGAGTAGACTTAGGCTTGTCTACTCTGGCAAGTGAACGACACAACTTTTGTTGTTCAGAGGTGTTAAAAAAAACAACACCCCCCCCCCCCAAAAAGACAAAAGTTTTGTCGAGGAAAAGCACTGGTGTGAATAGTGCTTTGTCGACAGAAGCGCTCTCTTGCCGCCAAAGCTACCGCCGCTCATTGGGGGTAGAAGGTTTTTGTCAGCGGGAGAGCTCTCTCTCCCACTGACAAACAGCGGCTACACTGCACGCCTTTTAGCGGCACGGCTGTAGCAACACAGCCGTATCACTAAAAGCTGTGTAGTGTAGACAAAGTCTTACTCACCTCATCCTCTTCTTCAATGTAAAGGCTGCAAGTTGGGCCCAAAACTGTTTCCACCAAAGCAGTAGTCTCTCTTCCAAAAGCTATGCTGGGCCAAAGGATGTTGCATAGATCAAGGAATTAGAATTGTCCACAATATCCTGTAGTGTTGTGGTAACAATTACATTTGTGCAACATGATGTTTGATTGCTTGCTTTTAATTCTACAAAGCACTGCATACCAGCAGACTGCCAATACTGATAACACTTTGAAATGCTTTCTGCAGTGAAGATTGGTGTTTGGCACATGCTTCTGCATGCCATTGTTTATTCACTTTGTGCTAATTATAATTGCAAGTATCTGCAAGGTAATGCATTAACTTTTTTATTAGTTGCATTTATTGTCCTGGAGAGTATTTCCAAATGGTGTTTGAATGCCTTTTAAACATAGGCGTACCAACAGAGGCTGAAGACCAACTTTTGCTTAGGACAACATATTTGTACCTACTCAACCACTTTACATCTATATACAGAAATATGCATTAACATCCTACATTTACAAGCAGTATCTATGAGCCACAATGGCTAAGAAAAACATCCCTATTCTAATGCAATCTGATACACCTTTGCAGTGATACTTATTAGATATTTTTATTTTATAAGGCAGTTACAAGGTGTTTGCAAATGTATTTTTCAGTTGCATTAAGTTAAAGGGACTCCATCAAGATGAAAGTCATAGTCTAATACTTTAGTGTCCTTATCAGGATTGTAGTTATATCAAGTTTTCAAAAATGCCCAGGTAAGCTAGGAGCCTAAGTTCCATTTTCAAAAGTCAAAAGTATTTTTCATAAGTAAATCTTCATAAGTCAGTGAGACTTAGGTTGCTAAGTCACTTGGGCATTTTTGAAAATTTTACCCATAATCCATTGCATGATTTTAAAAATATACTTTAAAATAGAATTTACTTTTCACTGGAGATGGGTCCAAACCAAAATTCTATACCTAGGAACCCTTTCGAAACTTGGAATTTCCAGTGCAAATGTGGATATAGATCAGAATTTTGCACCTGGCTCCTATCTCTTCTAATGGGCTGCTTCAAATTCTCAGATCCAAACATTGCAATATTTGGATTAGGATGCATATTAACAGTCCAAAATTCAACAGTTTGATCTCTGATGTGCTGTTGACTTATTTTTAACCTTGAACAGTGAAACAAACACCAATTGTTTCAATTTCAGGATTATATGTACTTGCACAATGCTGTTGTGTTTGAGTGTGCCAGGGAAATGTTTTAATAATAAGAAGTAGTCTGCTGCTTTCAGAGGTACAGATGCTCCCCTCCAATTATGCTAGTAGAAAGGAGACGTGTGCACATAACTAAGGTGTTGTGTTCACAGAGAAGGGGAAGAGTAATTGGTCTGTGCAATGTTTTTAAACCTCAGCCCCGTGAAAGCTCTTCTGCAAGCACACAGGGGTGGGACATATAGAGGTAAAGTGAGTGGAACAGCCACCCCGTGCAGCATGGTGTCTCCTATGGAATAAGCAGCATTACCTCTCCATGATGTTTTCTCCACCCTTTGGAGGAGTATGGCAGTTACAGTGCAGACTCGGGAGAGAGATGCAGTGGGAACACAGGGCTTGAGGTGGTTGTGCTGCCAGGTCTGAGGGATTGGCCAGAGAGCACCACAGTGGGACAGCTCTCTATGCTACTATTGGTTTGGGATCTGTGAAGACAGAAGACTGGTTCTCAAACAGGACAAAGATTTTTGCTGAGTTTACGGGTCATGCATCTTTTCCCAGTGTTAGCAGAAGAACTCCACAAGCTGATCCTCCCACTTTTCCCTTCCTGTAGGTTTTCCCTGTGAAAGGCAAGAGCCAAGTCAATGACATTTTTAAGAAATCATGAGAGCATTTATATTCATAATAGTTTTGCTTTCTTTTTTAAACCTTGAATGTGCAGCGTGTAGTTATTACTACAGCTCCAAAATTAGCATGTGAATTTCCAAATCCATCACCTCAATTTAAGGGCAGTAATTTCCATTCTGCTGCAACATGAAGTTTAACAGATGACTGACTCAGGGATCCTCTCTCACTAAGACATGCAGTAAGTTTTGCACTTTTGAATGGCACCTGTTGAAAAAGGTCAAGTGTATGCAAGTGCAGATGTACTCCCAAATGCCTGCACAATTATCTATTTTGCACAGACATTTCTATAGTAGGGCAGATGTGATAGCCAAGAGGTATAAACAATACAGTTAGTTGAGATGAAGCAATGCAGTTTATTAAATATTACTTCTGATTATACAAGATTATCAAGTTTACTAATGTTTGCAGGAAGATTTCAGCATGAGGTTGTAAACACAATTGTTGTCCAAATTGGAGAATAAAACTTTAACTGTACCTCTGTTTTTCGTCTGTGTACCTTTAAGAAGCTTATCTAAAGCAGAGATGGTTGAGTTTACATTAAGAATCATGCAGAATTAGGAGTGGATTCTGCTGTCACTCCTTGGGAAAAACTTCCACTGGAAACAGCATCTCAATGATAAATACATTTAAGCATTACTATGTCCATTACTCCTGTTCCATGCAAAACAAGGCTGATAGTTTTTTTCAAATGCCATAAGGATGGATTTCCCGTTACAGTTACTCAGCAGCAAAAATATAAAGAACATCCTGAACAAAATATAATTCACTCTATTTTCCTTTATCCTTCAAATCTTGCAAAGTAATGTGCAGACTTCTGAACCCTAGGGATGTTGGTAAGTTGCTCTTTGTACTAAATGTCACTGTGGATTTCCCATGTACAGTATCAAGATAGTAAAAAGCATGTAATTTATTTTCATAGCTCTAACATATATAATTTGACAGGCAGACTCTCTACAGATCTCCCCAGTAAATGCAGTGCATCTGTTGTTTGTTTTGGTGTATAGTCTTCCTGCCATGTAGATGGCAGCAACACTCAAGCCTTGAAATTCACATCAGCTTTTAGTGAAGCTTCATTCCACAACACATTGTTCAAGAATATTTGTTGACATGACATAAAAGGCTGATCTTAAGATTCATATCAGCATGATTGCATATACCTTTAAGCAGCATATGACATCACAATAGCTAGATTTAAAAGGCTTCCTACAGTATCTGACAATGTATCGTATCTATTAATATGAATATAAATCACATTTTGTTCTCTGTGCATTTTGTCGTATTTGGTTTATGGTCATGAAATCAGCAGTATTTTTCTGCTTTGCTAGATTTCAAGCACAAGACTGGTTCTCTGGGGGATCAAAGCAGGTGAAGATTTAGCAG